CCTGTGCACCTTTGACTTTGCAAGTTCGGGCACGTTTGCTCACATCAGCCCAAGTGGCAAATCGTGTAATTCCAGGTCTTTTGGCACATTCTTTTGTTTTGCATAGTTGCTTGTTTTCGGATTGGTGTGCCCGAAACTCACGTATACGCTTGTCTCAAACCTAGGAAAAAGAGTGCATTTATTAACACGGTGCATAGGAGAAGTTGCATTCCGCGGACGCAGGGCGACTCGCTGGCTCCGGCGGACTTCGCACGCTACGTGGCCGACGCGAAGTCGGCGCTCAGCAAACGAAGTGGTCCGAAGAAGGCCTCGGGGGTCGCCTCGCGTGCTATCGTGCGAGGCGCATGGACTCACCGTGGCATGGTGTGTCTTTTGTTTGGGGGACCCCCCAAATTGGCAGTTTTTCCGTTGGTTTCCCTTATGGACCATGTATCCAGCATATGGACCGCCAAAGAACTGTTGATTTAAAATTCCAGAGGAAGACAAGAGCTGGTATCAGGAATTGGGGGAATCCTTATTGCTTAGCAAAAGAGGGGGACATCGAAGATACACAGTTTGCACAAATGCAGTGGCAACATGGCTGAAATTTTGAAGACATGCTGTGCCATTTCCAAGGATGCTTGGTTTGAAAAGAACTAAGTAACTAAGTAATTAGCAAAAAGAAGTCATTGCGTCTACGCCATGCTATGTGCGCTTTAATTGACTTCAGCCAGATTGCACGGGTGAATCACGCGCAAGTGTCACAGGCAGAGCACAGCTTTGGGCATTGCAATCCACAAGGTAGTGTTTGTGTCTGTTGGTTTGTGTTTGTTTGTTTGTGTGTGTGTGTGGTTCTGTTGTGATTTGTAGTAATATTTTGTGTTTGTTGATTGTCGTTGTGTGTTTTTGTCTCTGATTTGATTGATTGATTAATTGATGGATCGGATCGGATCGGACTAGATCGGATTGGATTGGATTGGATGGGATTGGATTGGATTGATGGATTGACTGCTTGATTGAATGATTGCTTGATTGACTGGTTGGTTGTTTGGTTGTTTGGTTGATTAATTGAATGTATGTATGTATGAATGAATGAATTAATGAATGAATGAATGAATGAATGAATGAATGAATGAATGAATGAATTAATGAATGAATAATGAATGAATGAATGAATGAATGAATGAATGAATGAATGAATGAATGAATGAATGAATGAATGAATGAATGAATGAATGAATGAATGAATGAATGAATGAATGAATGAATGAATGAATGAATGAACGAATTGATGTAATTTTGATTTTGGTTTGATCTGATCTGTTTTGTTTTGATTTGAAGTTATTGATAGCTTGATTATGCAGCAATATCCTCCTCCTCCTCCTCATCATTATTATTTATTATCATCATCATCATCATCATCATCATCATCATCATCATCATCATCATCATCATCATCATCATCATTTTTTGGAGAACATTGCAAGGGCTTGGCGTATGGCAAGCGCGAGTATGCGGAGATTCCCTGATCTGTTGAGTTGTGGAAGTGGAGACACTTTCTGAACCATGCTGAGTACTTTGAGAGTAGTTGCACTATGAAGATGAAGTAGGCATTTGCCAGGAATATTCTGCGACATTGTTTAAGTCAACGTCTGCAACCTTGGTTGCAACACATTCCCTTCAAACAAAATTTGCGACATTCTCCCATAATGAGCTCAATGCGCTGTCTCGCTTTGCCAAAAGGGTTTCAGAATGCGACATCAACATGGAATTACAACCAACTGGCCAGATTGCACACATTTTAGCACGGCTCACCGACGCATAAGCCAAGTATTTGGCTCAAAATCAAGACAGCAATGTCTTTCCGTCTTGCCTCTTCGTGAGGAGCTGTTTCCAGCGCTTCTCACCAGTATGGCAATTCTGAGTTCGCAGCCTCAGCCACACCCACCATGGGCTAGCGTCACACGACTCATTTTGCTCTGGGCTCGGGTGCACGCAGCTCCCCATGTCCGGGAATGCTACCCTCTGTCCCTCCGTTGTGAAAATCGAATTGACCAAATCTGAGCTTTTGTCTCCTCAGAGTTGCTCCATTTATAGTCTCTTTGGACAGGTGCATGTGTTTCCAGCTGCTTTCTGCACCGTAAGCTGTAGCCGCCAGTCAGTCTCAAAATCCTGGCAGGCGCTGCTGCGCATGCGGCTCCTGCAGACCAAATCGGTGCCTCGGCGAGTCGTGCGATGTTCGGCGAGTTAGTAGCCCTGGCAGGCCATGATTTTTAAAGTGGAGAGTTCCTTCTGGTTTCTGCGAGTGGAGCGAGCTTTCTGGTCGGGTTGAACCAGGCTTGCTCGGTGCACGCTCTTACATATGTTGGGAATATCATTTGCTCGTCGTCTTGCATGTGGTATGGTCCAGCGACATATTTGGGCCAGGTTGAGAAAGATAGCTTTGACCTTTCAAGAGGTGATCATTGTGTTGTCGAAGTGCACAATTCGCTTCGGGGGGGGGAGGGTTGTGTTGAGTGGGGATTGTGTTGGGTGGGAGTTGCAAAGTTGGCGCTCCGAAGTGGGGTAGGCGGGGTGACAGAAGCGGACGGAATTTCAGGGAACCTGTGGTGGAGCATTTCAGCCGCTCGTTTGCTTCCAGACCTCTTCAAGGCATTTGCCAAGTGGGCCGACTTGGGCTGACAAATGAGACACGAAGCAACCCATATCACGTTTCACCTTTGACCTTGTTTGATGAACTTTTCTCGAGACATCCCTTTGGGTGAGCAATGTTTTGCAGAACACCACCCTTCTTCTCCTTATCGAGGTGGATGCTGCGTGTTGGTGTAAGACCTTTCTCAATGTTCACCTACCTCAGACACTTTCTGTCAATCCGAGTGATTCCAATTTGCTATTGCTGAGCTTGTGTTTGTTTGTCTCACTTCCTGAGAGCAGCTGTTCGCAACAAGCGACTAGACTGGATATTTTTCTAGATCAGTCACTGAAATTGTAGGTGGAAGCACTGGGTTTGTCGTTCTACGGTTCTCGCCGGTATGTTTTTTCATTGCACAATAGTTTTTCACGGGTTTTGAGCTAAGGAGATCTACGTGGAAGCTGCCAGGCACTCGGGCAACCGAGATCCGAAGGTTCGCGCTGGGGTCAGAAGTCACAGCCTGGCTCCAGTCTATGACACTCCCCTAAAACAAACATAATGTATGCACAACCCTGTTCATGGCGGAATCCATCTTGTTTGACCTTGAGTACGATCAGTCAAGGTGAGACACACTTGAAGGCTCCTGGCTCTCCTCAAGTTTCAGATTTTGTTCTTAGATTCCATGTAGATGACTTGCCAACACGCACCCAATGCAAATAGCAAAGCTTACCTGCAAGCCTTGAGAAAAAATGAAAAAAAGACGCGGATCTAGTCAATCTGGAATCCTTGACCAAGACCCAGGGTCAACTTCAAGTTGCCCAAGACAACGGGAACGAGAAACATGAATCCGCCACAGCTTTTCGAACCTCCAGCTCTCAATCAAAGCGGCTAGGGCCATTGCCCGCGAGAATCCCTGCCTCTTGTGGGGCCTCTGTTTGGCAGGCAGGCAGACGACTTTACCCATACAGAACGAAATGTCTCATGTCCAGGTGGTAGGACCGCAATCAATGAACTTGATTGGGATGTTGGCGAAAGCAGATCGTTCTCTTTGAGAACTGCACCGGAAAAAGGGGTTTAAGTGGTGGATTGACAGTTCCAAACTTTGGTTTGCAAGAGCTTTGCCTTTTGTACGTAGTGCTGGTTCATGTTTGAGACTCTAGACCGTCTGACTCGTTCCTCCTGTTCCATGGTAGATGAAACCCATACAAACGAGTTGGTTGCCGCTGACCTGCAAAGCAGTGATGCAGCCAGCGTTCCTTTTGAGATGAGGCATTTGCCTACGAACGCTAAGGCCGACGATGTGGACTCTGGAGACTCAATGAGCGAGCAGTGATGCCTCCGGAGGGACGTGGCATACGTTTGCGTTTGTCCCTTGCTGTCTCAAGAGGACACATTGGGACACGAAAACAGTCCCGGGGACTTGTGACTCAGTTCAGGAGCTCATAATTGCCATGACTCCGGAAGGTGACTGCCGCCTTAGATCTTTTGCGCTTCCAGCTGAGAGTGCATCCACTCGCTGCTGGCATGCTTGAGGATGCCACAAACTGAGGAAGGGCTCCTGTTGAGGACTCGTCTCGTTTTCAGGAGCCGATTCAAAGGGAGGCTCTGAGGGTGAGAAATGGGTCAACTTTCCGCGCATCACGATGGTTCAAAAGCTGGTTCAGGGTCACCCAAGACAGTGTACCTTGGAGCATCTCGGCCTTAGCACACTGTCTCAACTGCCAATCCATCTTCGTTCAAAGTTGCTTCCTAGAAATGACAAGCACAGCCAAGATATTCTTCTGATGAGGGTTTGACTTGCTGTGGTATCAAAGAGGACTCAAGATGAGGGGTTCTCCCCAGAAAATAATAATAATAATAAAACAATCAAAAACAGGTTTGTGAGGATTCAGACAGTCCACAAGCCGGCCAGCTGCAGAGTGATTGTACCACGATCGAACCGCTTCCCAGAGGCTGCATGTTAACGACCGCCGTGCTCCGCTCGCGTTTCAGAAATGCTGACGAGTGCCTTCCCTGGGGCACCACTGCCACTGGTGATACATTTGCTACATGTAGCAAAGGTGGGGGGGGAAAGCCATTGGAACTCAAAGTCATCCTAAA